AAAAGTATCCTGAGGATAAAAAAAAAAAAAGAACTGAGGTGAGGATAGCTCTCCCTCTGACTCAGGGCTGTCTGATAATACCTCTCTGGTGTCTGTGAGAGGTACCTGTAACACTTCAAGGCCCTCATCAACTGGCTGACCTTCAAGCTGCTCTTTTAAAAATTATTTTGTCAATTTTTTTGTCAATTCAATAGTATTTTATATTAGTTTCAGGTGTACACTATAGTGTTCAGGCTGCCTTATTAGTATTTTTTCAGGCTGCCTTATTGATAATGCTGCTAATGATGGCAGGAATGGACATGACACCCTTCCCCTGGGCATCTCCTAGAGTAGTGCAGGCTTGCACTGTGCCTGAGGGAGGAGCAGAGGAGTGAGGGCCCACTCCCCTACTCTATACAATGGTATGACCTTTGCATTTTATTTTTTTATCCTCACCTGAGAACATTGTTTTTGTTCAGATAAGAGTTGGGGGGGGGAGAGAGAGAGAGAGAAACATTGATGTGAAAGGGACACATGGAGTGACTGCCACACACTCGACCAACCAGGGCCGGGGACAAACTGCAACCAAGGTACGTGCCCTTAGCGGAAACCGAACCCGGGTCTCTCTGGACCGCAGGCCAATGCTCTAACCACTGAGCAAAACCAGCCAGGGTGCTCTTTGTATTTTAAATTTAACACATGTATCAGCTGTTAACTTTGCTTTCTCAGCATTCCTCTCCTCCTGTTAACAGCATCCCTCTTTTGGGGAACTTCGATCATCTACATAGCTATTTGAATGCTCCTCTCCAGAGCTCTGGATGGCTCCTTTCCAGAACTTAGCCCAGTTAAATGTCTTTTTTTTTTTTTTTTTTAAGTTTTTGTAGATAACCAATACCTAGGAAGTGGTGACTTTTATTTATTTTTTAATCTTCACCTGAGGATATTTTTTTCCCATTTATCTTCAGATAGAGTAGGAGGGAGGGAGAGAGAAAGAGAGAGAGAAACATTGATGTGAATAAGACACATCGACTGGTTGCCGCATGACCCCTATCAGGGCCAGGGACAAATTGCAACCGACATACGTGCCCTTGGCCGGAATCAAACCCAGGTCTCATTGGTCCGTGGGCTGACACTCTAACCGCTAAGCCAAACTGGCCAGGGTTCTTTTTTTAAATTAAATTAAAATTTTTTTCTGTATTGATGTTAGAGAGAAAGAGGAAGGGAGAGAGAGATAGAAAGACCGATGAGCGAGAACATTGGCTGCCTCCTGCTCGTCCCCCACTGGGGGTCAAGCCCACAACCTGGGCATATGCCCCAACTGAGAATTGAATTGGTGACCTCCTGGTGCATGGGTCAACCAGGAGCCACACCGGTCAGGCAAATGTCTCCTTCTTTAAGGGACCTGCCCTGACTACCACATCTAAAGATGTCTTGGTCTCCTGTCACCCTTGTGGCTCCAGCACCCTCCTTCTTATCACTCTGCTTTAGTTTCTTCTCAACACTCATCACTCTGACATCACCTTGTTGACCTGCTTGTGGTGTTCCTTCACAAGAGACTGCAAGGCCCAGGGCAAAAGACCTTGCCCTCATACTACTGGTCTGTTCCTGCTCCTAGGGCAATGCCTGGGCACAGCAGCTGCTCCATAAACATGTGCCCAGTAAACTATCCCTGACAGAACCTGCCTCTACTGCCTCTGAAGCCTGGCTAGTGACCTACGATAGACACAGGATGGTGGCAGAGCTTCAGAGGTAGGGAACTGTCTGGCCCTTGCCACTCCAAGGGCTGGTTGTTCAATACCTCCTTTGATTATGGGATTTACATGGTAACCTTAAGAATGAGCCAAAGGCAGGGAATTTGGGGGGTTTTATTAGCCAAATTTCTTTTTATTGGCTTGCAATATAAGCCCAACAAAACAAAACCATCATTCCAAGTTACCTTGTTCCAAACCTTCATAAATATTTAAAATAAGTGTATTGTATCTCATCAAGTGAAAGTACTGCCTGACAGCCATGGAGAATGTCCCAGCTTTTTATAGTTAGTACTGTAATACTACTGTGCTATAACCTTCCTGAGGCCATAATTATATGTAAGGATAGCTTTTCAGAATTAGAATTGCTAGGTTGGACAGATGGCATGAACCCGATACCTTTTGCAAAATTTCTTCCCACAAAAGGTTGTATCGTAGCCTGCGTCACCACACTGCAGACAGCACTAAGTATTATTCACCTTTGTTAACCTGACAAGCTCAGTAATCTCACTTTTGTTCTAATTTGCACTTCTTTGATTACTGGAGAAGGTAAACTTCCCTGAAATACAATAATATTGAAAGCAGGCCAATTAACCGTCCTATAATGGCTTTTATGTGTTCCAGTAAAATGATTACGCTGAGTGAGGAAGGCATGTTGAAAGCGGAGATAGGCTGAATTCTAGGACACTTGCAGCCAAACAGTTAGCCAAATTATGAAGGCAAAGGGAAAGTTCTTGAAGGAAATTTTAAGTGCTACTCCAGCCCTGGTCAGTTTGGCTCAGCAGTTGGAACATTGGTCTGCAGACCAGAGAGTCCCAGGTTCAGTTCCTGCTAGGGGAACGTACAAAAAATAAATCGCTACTCCAGTGAACAAACAGATGGCAAAAAAGTAAAACTCGTATTGCTGATACAGAGAAAGTTTTAGTGGTCTTGATAGAAGCTCAAACCAGCCACAACATTCCCTTAAACCAAAGCCTAATCCAGAGAAAGGCCTTAACTCTCTTCAGAAAGCTGAAGAGTTTGAAGCAGCAGGGTTTCAGAGGATTGACTCCAATTTTGAAAAAAGTTCTACTGAGTAAAATGCTATCAAACAGCATCACATGCTACAGAAAAGTCATTCTTGACAGGAAGAGGCAACTGATGCATCAAACTTCACTGTTGTCTTAAGAAACCACCACCCTTATCAGCAACCATTAACATCTAGGCAAAACCCTCCACCAGCACAAAGATGATGACTTGTTAAATTAGCTCAGATGACAGTTAGCATTTTTAGCAATAAAGGTTTTTTTTTATCCTCACCCGAGGACATTTTTTTTTTTTTTTTGCACTTATCTTCAGATAGAGCAGGAGGGAGAGAGGGAGGAAGAGAGAGAAACATCCATATGAGAGAGACACATCGACTGGTCACCACCCACACGACTCCAACCGGGGCCAGGGACAAACTGCAACCAAGGTACATGCCCTTTGTGGGCCGATGCTCTAACTGCTGCGCCAAACCGGCCAGCGCAAAAATAAAGGTTTTTAAAAATTTTGTTTATTATTGATTTTTAAAGAGAGGAAGGTGGGAAACATTGATTTGTTTCTTATATATATATATTTTAATTGATTTTTTTATAGAGAGAGGAAGGGAGAGGTAGAAACATTGACATGAGAGATACATGATTTGCTACCTCCTGCATACCCTCCACTGGGGATTGAGTCCACAGCCCAGGTAATGTACCCTGACTGGTAATGGAACTGGGATCTCTCAGTCCATGGAATGATGCTCAATTCTCTGAGCCACACCAGCTGGGCACTTATTGATGCATTCATTGCTTCTTTTTTTTTTTTTTGGTACGTGCCCCTAGCGGGAACCGAACCTGGAACTCTCTGGTCCGCAGGCCGACGCTCCAACTGCTGAGCCAAACCAGCCAGGGCCATTGCTTGATTCTTGTATGTGCCCTGACTGGGGATCAAATCTATATCCTTGCCGTGTCAGGACAACGCTCTCTTGAACTGAGCAACCCAGCTAGGGCCAGAAATAAAGTATTTTAAAAATTTTTATTTCTTTTGCAATAAAGTATTTTTAAATTAAGGTACGAACATTTTTGTTTTGTTTTGTTGTTGTTAATCCTCACAAGAGGATATTTTTTCCATTGATTTTTAGAAAGAGTGAAAGGTAGGGAGGGAAGAGGAGGGACAGAAAGAAACATCAATGTGAGAGCCATATTGATTAGTTGCCTACCGCACAGGGATCGAACCTGCAACCTAGGTACATGCCCTTGACAGGGAATCGAACTCAAGACCCTTCAGTGTGTGGGCCAGAGCTGTATATTAAAAAGAAGAAAAAAAAAGACATAATGTGATTGCAGACTTAATAGCCTCCAGTATAGTGTAAGCATAACTTTTACATGCCCTGTGAAATAAAAAAATTTGTGTGACTAATTTTACGGAGATATTCGCTTTATTACAGTGGTCTGAATCCGAACCTGCAATATCTACAAGGTATGGCTGTAAAACATTTAAATTATTAAAGACCTAAAGTATCTGAATTATCTGGTCCAATTTCCTTTACATTAGACATGAGCACATGGAAGAACACCAGAGAGGGGAGAGACTGTTGGCCCTGAATGTCAGTTCTAATATCATATCTATCTTCAAATAACGGAAGTTACCCTGAGGCAGACCAAACCAAACCATCCCCACCCCCAATACTCAATAAGAAAACAGTTAAATCACACAAAAAATCAACTACTAAACAAAGCAGTCATGGCCCACACCTCCCATCCTGTGGGCACAGCCATGTGAAGTCAATACATGGGCAATTTCCATACTGGCAAAATACTTTATTTTATAATGATAAAACAGGACAGTCAGGATTTCTTTTTGGTGTATACCAAAGGAAAGTAGAAGAATAAGGGGATTAATAGGATTTTTATGTACTTTGATGACAATAAAAGTTAACAATACCAACTGTTTGCCATAAAACTTATCATAGTTCCCCAGAACACATATATAATCATAGTTTAAAAATCTATAAAAGTAAAAAATATACAGTCAAAAGCTCTAACACTTATTCCATCTTTAATACAAAATTGTAAACATTTATTTACACAAAGCAAATGTGTATAACAAAAGTCCAAGCACCCTTTTGAGTCATGGCTCCTGGAAGATTGGAAGGGTGGGGGTGGCAGTGGGGAGTTTACAATGAAACATAGTCCTCTCCTCCCCAACTATCCAAAAACCAGGTTCATAAATAAAGCCACAGGCAGCTCCCGGGGGGGGGGGGGGGGGCCCGCAAGCATCACATTTTATTGCTCTGACACTACAGCAGTGAGAAGCCTACTGTCTATCTAGGTGGCCCTAGGACTAAGGCTGTGGCAGCCCTCCCCAGGAGGGGAGGTGGAATGCCCTGGGAACGGAGGTGAGCAGCAGCCTGAGAGAGATCAGACAGGAACAAGGGCCCACAATTAGCCTTCAGCCCACTATTTTTGGTAGAAAATCTGCTGAAGTCACCCTCTTCCCTATCAGATTGGGGAACTCAAGAGGGTGGAGACTTCACTAGCTCTATGACTCATCCATTCCCTTCTTTGAGAGCTAAATTCAGCATCAGGGAAAGGCAGGCAGGGCAGTTAAAGGGGAAATGGCCCAACACCACCATTTGTGGTGGCAAATGGCTATTAGAGAAGAGGATCTGAGGATCCAAGAACCCCCATGAAGGCACTGCTGGTGCAAATCATTACCAATGTGTGTACAACCCTCCATCAAAGCCACTCAGGCTGGTCACATGAATATTTTCCTTGGCTCAATTCTTTACATATGATATTCTTTGAATTGTTTTGAGACTCCAGGGAAATGGAGTTGCAGTTTCTCCAGAGACCACTCTGCATACAGCCCCTCTTTTCAGTGTATCATTTTCTCTCCAATACTGTGTGAAAGGGTCTTGCCCTGTGCTTATCATTTTGCTTTCTTTATACCAAAGTGCTCTCTCCACCTTCATTTTCCACAAACAGCCCACAGGTTTTGTGAACTCTTAGCTTAGTTAAGTCCATTAATTCATAGACCTTAAAAGAGAAATCCACTTGAATCTTTAGAAAGGATGTATTAGTGTTATAAAGCAATTCTCTTTAAAAGTGCAAGTCATCTGACATGGGAGTGGCAAGAGTAAAAACAAAGTGGAATTCCTTTCTCTGACCTGGCCTGTGCCTGTGCCTCCCTGCCAAATAGGGCACACCTTATTCTCCTTCCCCAAAGCTTTCCTTTCTGGGAGGGATACTTGTCCTCCCAGCAATGCTAGGTCTCCCTAAGGAATTTCAATGACTCTTTCTTTTCCCCTCCCATCTAGTAAATCATTGCCTTGAAGAGGTTTTCTAGTTGGGCTGGAGAGAGAGAAAAGGGGAAGTAGAAAAAAAGGTCATGGAAAGGGAAGATGGGGTGAAGGAAAAACATCTGTGCACAACTCAACAATGATCACCTTCTAATATGTTAAATACATGTTGTTAGAGAAAATAACTGCAAAAGGCGGGAAGTTACAACAAAAGGGGACATAGGACTCCCAAACATCCCATTTGGGCATTTAGCCTGGGTCCTGCTACCAGCGCATGAGAGAAAGGGATTCCTCCACCAGGGTCTTCAGAAATGCCAACCTGGAAGAACAGCATTCTGGAAGGAGGGGCTGCTAAAAAGACTGCACCTTTGTCACTAGCTCTGCCACCTCACAGCATTCTGTGCCTTTTTGGCACATGCAGTCACAGACTTTACTTACGAATGATTTTCCAGTGATGCTCCCTGTCCCCTGAAAGCTGACAAAAGAGCAAGAATAAAAAAGGCTCTTAAAAGGAAGCCCTAGGTTTCCAATGCCACTTAATCAACTTAAACCACCACCTACAGTTTTAAAACCTTTTAAAATTTTTTTCTTTTCTATTGTACAAATTGTAAATAGTTCTGCTGTATAAAGTTTCAAAAACCTGTCCCCAACATTGGGGCAAGTGGAGAAATCTTGGATTAAGTCAACTTGGCACAGATTTTTATAAGCTTGATGTTGTGGGGTTTCACTGTTGGTTTTTTGGTCATTTGGATAGAAAACCACCTGTAGAACCCTGTCATGCTTTCCCAACACCAGGTAATGATGCCAGCAGAGGGTCTGGGGCCTGCCCAACAGACCACAACTATTGGGTTGGAGCAGAGGGATCTGCAGATCTTGGCCAGGTGGGACCTCAGCCTCAGACTGCTCTATCCACCCAGCACCCCAGGCTGTAGGCTTTTGGTCCAAATAGTTGCTCATTGTTGAATATAAGAACAAAAATACAGGATGTACGAACACTGAAAACACCACAAATCCTCCCATTACTGAGGCCCCAAAAGGTCGTCCAAATCATTCATCCACTCTTCCGAAGTCCTGTTCTTCAACAGGGAGTCGATCAGATCGGTGTCCCCAGCCATGCTGGTCAGCCCGCTGCCACCTGGCTGCCCACTATAGGCAAAGGGAAGCTCCTGGCCTGAAGTCCGCACAGGGTAGGCTTGGGTGCAGTGTAACCCTGCCTGGCCACCCATGGGTGGGGCAGGGCTCTGGCTAAAGGCCCCCAGCTCAGGCCCACCAGGGCTCAGGCCTGGCAAGCCCTGTTGTGGAGCTCCCTGGGGAGGTGCTGGGGCAGGGGCACTAGTCCTCTGCTGCGCACTCACGGGAGGCAACATGGGCCCTGCTGCAGCTGCTGAGCTCATGGGGGCCATGGGCCTACTGGGTATCATCTGGGAGAACTGCGGGTTGGACATTTTCAGGTGGGCCTGCTGCATGTGGAAACTGGAGGCTGCAGTGAATGGGCTGACAGTGTTGCTCCCTGGGGTCTGGCTACTCAGGTTCGGCATTCCCTGATGTTGCCAGGAGGGATTCTGGCCTCCCATGGTCGCCGACACCCTTGGGACCTGTGGCTTACTTAAACCAGAGTTCAGAGTCCCCTTATTGTGCTGTTGGGAGAGGCCAGAGCTCCCCAGAGAGTTCTGTCCATAGGCAGCTGAGACTGAGGTGTTCTGGCCCATGCTGGTCTGCCTTGGAATGTGGGCATGTCCGTTGGTGGCCTGTGGTGGGGGCTGGGCAACTATCTGGGTTATGCTGGAGGCCATGCCATAGAGGTTACCCTGCGGCATGCTCTGGGAGCCAGTGAACTGAACCACACCCTGGTCCTGCTGGCCTGAGTTTGAGAGAGAGGAAATTGAAGTGTGTCCAGGGCCCATTGGCATCAGACTCCCGGCCTGAGGGAATACCCGAGGACAGCTGGAGTTAGATGGACCCAAGTTGTTCATACCAGGTACAACAGCAGAAGACCCTAAAAGACAGAGAAAATTTTGTCTATCAAGCTGGCATTTCTTGACCACTGCAGTGGAGACACTTCCATGACCCAAGGTGCAGCCATTACCCTATGGGCACAAACAGTAGAATCAGACACCAGATATTTCACGATCAGTGGAACCTCAAAGAGAACCCTGGGACCAAGGAGGCAGCAGTACGGAGCAATGAGGAGATTAAGATAGGTGCAGAGGAACAGGCAAAGCCTGAGGGGAGGGAAGCCCTGGTTCACCTTCTGAGGCCCATCCAATCTCTGCTCTGTGCAGGCCCTATGCTGGGCACTGGGGGCTCCAATGATCCAACTCAGGATCTGCCTTTGGGAGGTGAAGACTCCATGTTGTGACAGAATTACATCAAAGACTAGGAAGCAGGCTGTGGGAGCATAGGAGTTGAAGGTTCAATGCCTGGGGAGAACTGGGGAAAGCTTCAGAGAAGGTGACAAATACACTGGGTTTCAAAAGGGTAGACAGAAGTTTAGCAACTTAACAGTTTGGAGAAACAGTATTCTAGATAAAGAGTATGTACAAAGGTATAAAGTTATGAAAGGCAATCTTTGTGGGGAACTCTGTGGCTGCGATATGGGGAAAGCATTCAGCTGGTTAGAAACAAAACTGAAGAGACAGTCCCAGCCAGACTCAGAAGAGCTGCGGCCCCCATATGAAGCACAGGGCTGCAAAGCGAAAGGGTAACTAGACTGTGACTGTAGTTTAGACCTTGCTGGGCAGGAGCTGTTAAAATCACTTAGATGAGGGGTGCACACAATGTGGCCCTCCCAAGGGTGACAGAGGGAGAATGTGCAAGCTTGTTCTTCACACCACAGACCCTCAGGGAACAGAGCAGTCTAGACTGCAATCAGGTATTTATGGAGCACCTGCTCTGTGGTGGGTGCTGTGATGGGGACACAGCAAGGAATAAGACAGAGGGGGTCTTTCCTCAGGGAACTTACTGTCTGGGGCTCTGCTTTAAGCAATGGATACATGAGGACAATACTAACTGAGGTGGGTTTTTGTGGGTAGAAGAGTGAGTGTTCAGGGGTTGGCCTTACCTGAGTACTTTGTTTCTCTTCTCACTCTTTCCACTACCACCTAACTAGAAACTGAGCAGAGGAAAAGAAAGAGTCTATTTCACTCCCACTGACAGCCCACAACAACAACAGATGGGATGAAGGCAGAAAAGCTGGCTAAGACCCAGGCTTCTGAGATGTCTGCCTCCTCCATCCTGGTCAGCAAGCACATGAAACTCCACCTGGTCTCTCTCTCTTTTTAAACAATCCTCACCTAGGGATATTTTTCCATTGATTTTTTTTTTTTTATCCTCACCTGAGGACATTTTCGCATTTATCTTCAGATAGAGTGGGAGGGAGAGGAGAGGGGGAGGAAGAGAGAAACATCAACGTGAGATACACACCGACTGGTTGCCACCCACACAACCCCATCCAGGGCCGGGGACAAACTGCAACCGAGGTACGCTGCCCTTAGCAGGAAATGAACCCGGGACTCTCTGGTCCACAGGCCGATGCTCTAACCACTGAGCAAAACCGGCCAGGGCTTTTCCACTGGTTTTTAAAGAGAGAGTGGAAGGGAAGGAGGGAAAGAAAGACAGAAACATCGATGTGAGAGAGACACATGAACTGGTTGCCTCCCAGATGACTCCAACCAAGGCTGGGCATTAAACAATCAACCTAGGTACCCTTGACCAGAATCGAACCCACAACCCTTTGGTCTGCAGGCTGACGTGCTAACAGCTGAGTCAAACTGGCCAGGGCTCTATGCCTGGAAGACCAGAATGCAGAGCTGTGGTCAGTTTCTCTGGGACACTTTACAGTGAGAGTCACCGACCACAAAAAGGACAGGTTTCAAAGATATTCCAAGAGCAGACCACACTTTATTGCATCTGTCAACTGGCATCTCTATGTATTTCTGGAATGACAGCCTGAGCAATTGGCAGTGAGGTTCCCTTGCATATATGACACGTGACAGCTGAGACCTCTCAGAGTGCTTCCTGCCCTTTCCTGGTCATCTGTCCAAGGCTGATGCTGCCACCCATGACACCAAAGTGAGCAGATAGGAAGAAAAACAGGAAACAAAGCCCACACAAGTGCATTAAGTCTCTCCTTATCTGGAAACTGGGAGAGGTCATTTTGCTGAAGCAAAGTTCTTTTTTTTTTTTTTTAATCCTCACCCGAGGACATTTTTTTATTCAGGGAGAGTGGGAGGGAGAGAGAGGAAGACAGAGAGAGAGAGAAACATCGATGTGAAAGGGACACATTAAATGGCTTCCACCCGCACGACCAACCAGGGCCGGGGACAAACTGCAACCGAGGTACATGCCCTTAGCGGGAACTGAACCCGGGTCTCTCGGGACCGCAGGCCGATGCTCTAACCGCTGAGCAAAACTGGCCAGGGAGCAAAGAACTTTCTTAAGAATTATAGAAGTGGTGCCAGATGATGATTTGACTTTTGGTGGTGGGCACACAATGCAATATACAGATCATGTGGCATAGAAATGTACACTTGAAACCTATATAACTTTATTAACCAATGTCATTCCAATAATTTTTTTTTAAATCCTCATCTGAGAATATTTTTTCATTTTATATTCAGATAGAGTGGGGGGAGGGGGGGGAAAGGGAGAGAGAGAAACATCAATGTGAGAGAGACACATCGGTTGCCTCCCACACGACCCTGACCAAGGCTAGGGACTGAACCTCAACCAAGGTATGTGCCCTTGACCAGAATCGAACCCGTGACTCTGGTCCTTGGGTCGACACTCCAACTGCTGGGTCAAACCGGCCAGGGCATCCTAATAAATGAAATAAAAGTAAAAGAATAAAGAATTACAGCCCTGGCCGGTTTGGCTCAGTGGTTAGAGTGTCGGCCTGCGGTCCTGAGAGACCCGGGTTCGGTTCCCGCTAAGGGCACGTACCTCGGTTGCAGTTTGTCCCCGGCCCCCCTGGTCGGTCGTGCGGGTGGCAGCCACTCGATGTGTTCCTTTCGCATCGATGTTTCTCTCTCTCTGTTCCTCTCTCTCCCTCCCACTCTACCTGAACAAAAAAATGGAAAAATGTCCTCGGGTGAGGATAAAAAAAAAAAGAAAAAAAAAGAATTACAGAAGATGCCCGGCCGGTGTGGCTCAGTGGTTGAGAATTAACCCATGCACCAAGAGGTCACCAGTTTAATTCCTGGTCAGGGCACACCCCCAGGTTGTGGGCCCAATTCCCAGTGGAGGGCATGAAGGAGGCAGCCAATCAATGCTCTCTCTCAGTATTTCCATCTCTCTCTCTCTAAAAAAGAATTACAGAAACCATTTCCTATTGCTAAGATATCTTCCAAATAGAAATGATTTTGCTTCAAAAGAGTGTATAGCCAGGGACCCAGTCAAAGTACTTAATCAAAGTGGTCTGCCTTTAAGACCCTCTTCTGGCTAGCAGGGTGACTAGAAAGCAGGCTCCTTAGACAGGTTGAAGTTTATGTGACTAAGTAAAACCACTGAGCACCTAGCATAAAGCTAGGCAGAAAGTAGGAACTCGGCATGGGTGAAAAAGACCACCTGCTCTGTGTAGTATCTACCTTCCTTCCCCTGCCCCCACTCCATCACTCCAGACATCCTCTCACCAGTGAACTGTCCAACTTGCTGTGGGAATGTGTTCTGTGTTGGGTCTTGGTACTGGGGTGGTGGGCGAGTCAGATGGCGCTGAAACTGCTGCTTCTCCTAGAAAATTCCAAGAACAGAACAAAACAAGACCCACAAAAAAGAAAAACCGTTAGATCAGAGAAAAGAAAACTGTTGAAGCTTGTTACTCACAGATAGACTCCTGTGGATATAATGCTCATGATCTCATTTTGGAGACTTCTGTTGTTGTTAATCCTCACCCGAGGATATTTTTCCATTGATTTTTATTTATTTAAAATTTTTTTCCCTTTGTTGATTTTATTTTATTTTATTATTATTTTTTTTTTAATTTTTTTTTTTTTTTTTTTAATCCTCACCCGAGGACATTTTTTCCATTCTTTGTACAGATAGAGTGGGAGGGAGAGAGAGGAAGAGAGAGAGAGAGAGAAACATCGATGTGAAAGGGACACATCGAGTGGCTGCCACCCGCACGACCAACCAGGGCCGGGGACAAACTGCAACCGAGGTACGTGCCCTTAGCGGCAACCGAACCCGGGTCTCTCCGGACCGCAGGCCAACGCTCTAACCGCTGAGCCAAACTGGCCAGGGCTCCCTTTGTTGATTTTAAAGAGAGTGGAGGGGGGAGGAAGAGAAAGATAGAAACATCAATGAGAGAAAACATCAATTGGCTGCCTCCTGCATGCCCCCCACCGGGGATTTGGCCCACAACCTGGGCATGTGTCCTAACCAGGAATCAAACTGGCGACCTTTTGGTGCATGGGTTGACGCTCAGCCACTGAGACATACTGGCCAGACTCCACTGATTTTTAGATAGAGTGGAAGGGAGGGAGAGAGAAAAACACTGATGTGAGAGAGACACATCAACTGGCTGGCTGTCTTCTGCATGATCCTGAACAGGGCTGAGGTTCAAACCTGCAACCCAGGTATGTACCCTTGACTGGGAATCGAACCTGAGACCCTTTGATCTGCAGGCCGATGTTCTAGCCACTGGGCAAAACAGGCGAAGGCTCATTCTGGGTACTTCTAATAAATACTATGAAGCAGAAGAATGGGGCAGAGCTAAGGAGCAATAATTAGGAAAAAAAGAAGGAAAACCACAATGGTATATACCACTTCACATGCACTAGGTTGGCTAAACTGAAAAAGACATGTGTGGCCCTGGCTGGTTTGGTTCAGTGGTTAGTCCATAGACCAAAGAGTCGCAGGTGTGATTCCAGTCAAGGGCATGTACCTCAGTTGTGGTTCGATCCCTGGCCCTGGTCAGGGTCATGCAGGAGGCAACCAATGTGTCTCTCTCACATCAATGTCTGTCTGTCTCTCTCTCTCTCTCTCTCTCTCTCTCTCTCTCTCTTCCTCCCTCCCTCTCACTCTATCTGAAAAAGAAAAAAAATTTCAATAGAGCCCTTGCCAGTTTGGCTCAGCAGTTGGAGCATGGGCCTGTGGACCAGAGAGTCCTGGGTTTGGTTCCCATTAGGGGCACATACCCAAAAAAAAAAAAAAAAAAAAAAAAAAAAAAATCACCTGTGTCAGGAGGATGTGGAGAAACCAGCACCTTCATACACTGCTGTGGGCATGTAAAATGGTTTCGATACTTTGTAAAACAGTCTGGCAATTCTTCAAAAGGTTAAACACAAGAGTTACCATATGACCCAGCAACTCCACCCTAGATATACACTAAGAGAACTGAAAACCTATGTCCACAAAAAGTACAGGAAACCACCCAATTGTCTATCAACAGATAAATGGAGAAATGAAATGTGACATATTCGTACAACAGAATATTATTCTGCCATAAAAAGGAGGGATGTACTGATACATGATACAAGGTTGAACTTGACTCCACTTATATGAAATATTAAGAAATAGGAAAATCTGTAGAGACAGAAAGTAGATTAGTGGTTGCCTAGGCCTGGGAGAAGGGGGAAAAGAATTTTTAATGGGTATAGGGATTCTTTTTAGGTGATAAAATGTTCTAAAATAGTGGTGATACTTGCACAACTCTGTGAATATACTAAAAACTATGGAATTATTCACTTTAAATGACTAACTCATAAGTCATGTATAAAGCTATTATTTAAAAAACGGCAGAATCGAGCCCTGGTTGGTTTGGCTCAGCGGTTAGAGTGTCGGCCTGTGGTCCAGAGAGACTGGGGTTCGGTTCCCGCTAAGGGCATGTACCTTGGTTGCAGTTTGTCCCCGGCCCTGGTTGGGTCGTGCAGGTGGTGACCACTCGATGTATCCCTTTCACATCGATGTTTCTCTCTCTCTCTCTCTCTCCTTCTCTCTCCCTCCCACTCTATTTGAACAAAAATGGAAAAAATGTCCTTGGGTGAAGATTGAAAAAAACAAAACAAAAAAAATAATGGCACAACCAAGACAGTGCTGTGGGTTTAAAAGTCATCCTCAATCAATTTGAACCACTGAATGACTAATTATTTATTTATTTTTTTTGCTAATCCTCACCCAAGAATACTTTTTCCAATAATCTTTACAAAGAGTGGAAGGGCAGGAGGGAGAGAGAAAGAAACATTAATGTGAGAGAGAGACATTGATTGGTTGCCTCCCACACACACCCCAAACAGGACTGGAGATTAAACCTGCAACGCAGGTATGTGCCCTTGACTGGAAATTGAACCCACAACCCTTCAGTGCATGGGCCAATATTCTAACCACTGAGCTATACCAGCCAGGGCAGAATGACTAGTTCTTCTCTTATATCTTAAAGATGTAATTTTAAATCCTGAGGACTCTTTTTTTGTTGTTACTCCTCACCTGAGGATATCTGTCCATTGATTTATTTTAGGTAGAGCGGAAGGGAGAGAGGGGTAAAGAGAGACAGAAACATCTATGTGAGAGAGACACATCAATTGGTTGCCTCCTGCACGACCCTGACAGGGGCTGGGGGTCAAAACTACAACCCAGGTATACACCCTTGACTAGAAAAAAACTGTAACCCTTCAGTCCAGCAGGCCAATGCTATAACCACTGAGCCAAATCAGCCAGGGCTCCTGAGAACTCTTGTAATCTTGGTGTCTTCACACTATATTTGGTGACCAGGTAGAACTGTAGAACTTAGAGAGGGCTTGTCGGTTCTGATTCTACAACCCCAAGACCTTAGGCAGGTCTTCACTTCCCTGCTTCATATTCTGGCCTATCACAAACTCTACATTTACAACTAAGCTGGGTTCCACAGTGAATCAACAGACTGGGAAGCTCAGTGCTTTGGCAGTTGCTGACAGAACATGGAAAAATGTCCCTAACATATAATTTTGTTTTGTTTTTTATCCTCACCCGAGGACATTTTTCCATTTTTTGTTCAGATAAAGTGGGAGAGAGGGAGAGAGAGAAACATTGACATGAAAGGGACACATCGAGTGGCTGCCTCCCGCACCACCCAACCAGGGCCGGGGACAAACTGCAACCACGGTACATGCCCTTAGCGGGAACTGAACCCAGGTCTCTCTGGACCACAGGCCGACGCTTTAACCACTGAACCAAACTGGCCAGGGCCCTAACATATAGTTTTAGCCACATATTCTGCCTTTATTAGTCCCCACTAAATGACATAAAAGCTGCTTCTAACACAAGCCACCACTGTGTGAGAGATACCACACTCACAGAAAGGGGTTTAAAAGGGCAAAGCACTCCAATACCAAACATGCAATGAGCACACATTCACATGTGTCCAGCTGAGCTTGTGACCACCCGGTGACTTGAGGAGGATGAGGGGGTGGGGCAGGGGTTCTTATAGCTTTCTCTTTACCTGCTCTGCCAGAAGATGTTGCTGTCTTTGCAAGAACTGCTGTTGCTGCAAATGCTTTTGCTGCTGTTCCCTCTGTTTCTGTTGATCCAAAAGCAACTGATGCTGCTTCATTACAGCTGCCTGCTGCTGGCCACTGAGATAGGGTGTGCTGTTGTGAGTGCTGGCCACCGATGCAGTGGATGGTTGGGTCCCCACACTGGAGGCCTGGGCTGGCACAGGGACGTTGGGAGGGTTCTGCTCCTGTCAACACAGAGAAGGGGGTGGGGGTCTTGAGTCAGGTGGGACATAGTAGTCTTAAGTCCTGATCAGGGCAGATGAGCTCAGCCCAATAAGCCTGGCTCCCTGCAGATGACTACAGTGCAGCCACCCTAGAGGGCTGGGCCAAAGACCAAGATAGCAAATACTTGAATATCAAGTTTTGAAACAGTAATGAACTGCTTGCTAGCTTTGCTTCCTGTGATTTGCTATTGGAGAGGGTATGAATTTATACTTAAGCTCATACATTTGCACACAATAGCTTCTGTAAGCAACTGTAGCTTACATGCACTGGAATGCATGAGTGCAGGTGGGCCCCAAAGGAAGAGTGCTCAGATGGGCTTTGGATGATGGAGACACACAACATTCCGAGTGTGAAAACCTTGGATTCCTAGTGGTGGGGCTGTCCCTGAACCACCTGAAATTGTTTTGTTTGTCCATTTATATACAGTATTTTCCTGGGAAGAGACTGCTTGGCTTTTGTCAGATACTCATACTTTAAAAATAACTGAGTATTGATGAGAACTTTAACAAATATTTTCTATTAATACACAAACCAAAAGTGAGTCATGTCAAAAGTGACTACAATGTTATTCCAACATCATTACTTACATTTAAAAATAAAGGAAGTAAATTTAACTCAAAACAGGAAAAAGGCAAAAAGCAATTATTTAAACAAGTTCAACTTCTTGAGCTCCTTCTAGTCCTTATTCATCTGTATATTTTATTTGTACATGATTCTAATCCTAGAGCAGACAGCTTCTGATGTAATTTCCTTACCCCAATCTGCAGAAGCTTACGGGCTATAAGAGTGCTTTGTGAGGTACCAAGTGCTACTTAAATGGCAGTCATCACTGTGCCACTCTTTCTTAAGGTCACTTCTAGTGGCTGTGTAACAGTTTAATGGCTGACACAAGTGGAAATTTCAACATTACATATGCATGCTCCTGTTGAGAGACGCTTAAACTGCTTCCAGTTTTGGGCTATCAGCTATAAGCATGCAATGGGTATCTGGTATATAACTTTCTCTTTTGGGGGGATTATTTCTTGCAGGGGTATAATGTGTAAATGTTTATGAATATTCTTATGGCTTATGAAAAATACGTATCGCCAAAATTATTTGCCAAAAGTATTGTGCCCATTTACACACCCTCATCAGTAGATGAACGTGTCAATTTCTTCATGCTATTAACAGTTATAAATATACAAAGGTACATAAAAAGGTATTCACTGCAGGCTTACTTACAGCAGTGAAGAACAGGAGACAATGCACATTACACAACTATTGTCACAAAACTGTTAAAAAGTTTCAGTAGATCTAACAAGTGCAGAAGACAGTCCAGGACACACTGTGGAGTGAGCAAAGAGAGTGTGCTGCACCCTGTCTTTGAGGAAGCTGGGGACACTCTATTACTGTATCAGGTCCGGCCATTGGAAGGCTCCCAGAAAGAAGGCATCTTAGAACATAGCTGAGCAGAGTAGAAATATAAATCATGACCATGACAGCACTGGCACCTGGCCATTCTCCACCCTGCAGAGCCATGTGATTCTGATAGGCTTGCATATCACAACTAAAGAACCATGGAATTTAGATATGTTAGGAAGCAGCATTCACCTAAAAGATTATTAGCTTACTAAAACTGAAGGTGTTTTGAACAGAGAGATCTGAAAGGTGGTTTAAAAAGAAAGCAAAAAGCAAAGCCTCTAAGAAGCACATTAAGTCTGACCTTTAACTACAAAATCCAGCCACCAATTACCTAATTTGTGTGGCATGAAAGAAACACAAGAAGTGCAGATGATTCCTCAAAAACATGTACAGTAAAAACCAAAGAAATTTTACCCTATTTTTGTTTATTAATACTCAATCCAGGTTTGCTTGATCTATTTTCACTCCCAAGGAGTCAAAGGACAACTGCAGCTGCTCCCTACCTCCTTACTTTTGTTCCCCAACTACCTGGGACCTGGTAACTACAGGGATGCAGAGTAAAAGAGCAAAGCCACAGGCTCACCTGAGTAGGTGGAACCAGAGATCGGAAAGGCATATTTCCTGGTTTTGGTTTCATCAGAAACAAGGAGTTCTGCTCATTGCTCAGATGAGGCAGCTGCTGGGGAAGATAAGCCATCAGGGCTGTCTTGCTCTGGCCAGCCCCAGGGCCACCTTGCCCACAGTCTGCTTTGTAATGAGAAAGAGGCTTGGTGTTGCCATAGTCCAGCATTGACCCTTGGTTAGTCATGGCATTCTGACTCAAGTTACTTGGTGGCTGGTGACTCAGCAGGTTTACATGGCTGGGCTGAAGGTAGGGGCCTCCAGGACGAGGGGAGCTCTTGTTCACACTGGGCATCATGAGCAGTTTGGAGTTGGTGAAGTCTTGCTTATAGCCAGGAGGGCTGGCTGGCTTCTCCATGGTATAAGGAACATTTAAGGGACTGTGGGAGGGGCCTGTCTGTTGCCATGTAGACATCTGGCCTGGAGCTGGTGCTGGGGCAGCCTGCTGTGAATTCTGGAGCATCTGCTCACGTTTCTGCTTGGCGGCGATCTGCTGGAGCTGGTGGGCAGAGGACAGCTCTGAGGCACCTCCTGGACCCTGGCTAGGCAACATCACACTGGAGATGGCTCTTTGTGCATTTTGGGCCTGGGCTGATGCCAGCATCAGGTTGGGACTGGGATTTTCTGTCCTGGGCTGACCAGAGGTGTGGAACAGAGGCTGAGAACCCCCTAGGCTGGGTGAATCTGTGCTCACAGGCCCAGATGAAGGTCCCATAAAGGTATGTCCTACAGACCCAGCCCTCACTTGTGGAGAGCTTAACTGTTCTTGTTCAAAGGCTGCTGGAGAAAATTCTGTCTTAATATTAATGTCCTGTGCCAAGGGGGGCTGTGTGGCAGAACCAGAAGATTCTGGGTCCTTCTTCTCTTCAAAGTCCTCAGTAAACAGATCCTTCATGTCTTCATCGGGCACTGACCTGTTCAGCTCCTCGATGAGCTCCTTCCACTCCTGCTCGTTAAGGTTGAGGTCAGGCATGAGGTTGCTTTGCGATATGGAGCCTCCAGTCCCTGTGATCATGCAAGGCAAATCATCGACAGGCTCCTGCTTCAGCTCTTTATTCAGGCTCAGAGGAAATGATTCACCAGGGTTGCTGCCTCCATTCAGGTGGAGGCCTGAGTCTGCCAGACACTTCTTGTTCATGGAGTCTAAGCCTAGTGAGTGCTTCCCGTTGGCCTGCAGGGCCTCTGCACCAGGCTCATCAGGCTGACTGAGGGGGGAGGCTGGAGGCAGGCCATTTGAAGAGACAGTTACTCCCAGGGAAGCCTCCCGGCGGGTCTTCTTATGCCCAGAAAAGAGGTCTCCATAGCCATTCTGCTGATCGCCATTCTGTGGGGAGGAGGTATTATCGAGACTCCTCTTTACTGTGTCGTGGAGATGCTAAAAAACATGGAAAAGAGTGACTTATGTGCATAGCATCATGTAAGAGGCCCTCTGCTTTTTAAACCAGGGGCCTGTAACTCTGTAGTGTTCTCTTATGATTCTGTCTACCCAGTTTACACTCCCTACTATGAGACATCCCCCACCCCCATTTCCCCTTTGGGGTTGCCTCTCCCTCTCCCAGATCCTGTGGCCTCACCTGAGTTAAGACCATTAGCTCTGCTGTGGGAAAGCAACCCAGTTACAGTCAATGGGTCAGTCTCTGGACTTCTGCAGGACACAAGCCTGATGCTATGCAGTCTATTCAGTGTGAGGGTGTGCCCAAGAATGGAGCCGAGGAGAAAGAACCAGAGGATACATATACATTCTGAGGGCATCATGTGAGTCCTGGATTTAGTTGTACCAAACACTAGCCATTCCCCACCCTCACCCCAGCCTTTTCACCTATGGGATCAAATAAATTCCCTTTCTTGTGTTTAAGCCAGTTTAACTAGGATAGCTGCTGCTTTCAGCTGATGGAGCCCTGGCAGCACAGGCTCTTTCTCAGGTTTGGAGGGGCCTGGCAACCAGCACCAGGCTCCATCCTGTTGCATGGGCCAGTGTTAATGCCCTTCCCAGCCTTTCTAGAGCCTTGACCAGCTCCACTCCTTTCCCACTTTAGTTCTACTCTCCTCCCTGCCAACCATGAGCATCTTCTAATCCCCCATGCCTAATCACCAGCCTTCACAAATCGCACTTCTTATCAAGACCATGTAACCACAGTCAGGTTTGTCTGCACTGATATCCTTGCTTTCCCTTATCCTCAACTAGATTTGTTCAACTACCAGTTTATAAAGAGTCTACCTTGTGCCAGGGACAAGTGCTGTAGACTATCAAGACAAATAGGGTGGTCCTCTCTCATCATGGGCTCCCAGTCTTCAAGGATATAGGACACACAGGGGCATGGCTACAGAGTAAGATGAACGGCTTATGCAAGCAGTAGAGCAGTAAGCACCCTGAAAATGCAGGGGCAGGAGTTTCAGGAAGTGGGATGAGGAAGAGAGAAGGTAGTATCTTCCTAATACTTCCCCAGCCTTGTTTTCAGCTGTCAGGACAGGATTCCTCCACTAACAGAGGTGCTTACACTCAGTCTCTAAACATTAGCTGGTCCTTTCCTATGTTTACTCTTGTTACATTTTTATCCTTCTCCTACTCCTACTAGTTCCATCTCTTCTCCCCACTGATCCTAAGTATCTATGCCGAGCTATTTACAAAGTTCTAAATAACATTTTTCATTACCTTTAAACATATTTCAGAGGAGTCAGACAGTAGTATGAAGCACTCTGTGCTGGTATTCCCCAGCTGCAGAGAAGGACTGCAATGACCTATCACACTTGCCCTAGGAGTGTGTGACTACAGGAGTATCCTGACCTGGGGTTCCTGGCCACGGCAACTCTGTGGGCACCAGCTCTTGGCAGCAAACTACTCATTAAACACAAATGCACAATGAGTAAGAAAACAAGAAGGGTAATTTTCTAAATCTGAGTCCCCATTCTAATGCTCCCATTCCTTCCTCCCACTTCAAGATTTAACAGTTTTTTTCTTAACTGTTAAAGCCAATTGTACAGTGCTCTAAAAATCCTGGCTGAGTCAGTCTTTCTTTCTTTCTTTTTTATCCTCACCTGAGGACATTTTTGCATCATCTTCGATAGAGCAGAAGGGAGAGAAGGAGGAAGAGAGAGAGAAACATCAATGTGAGAGAGACATATTGACTGGTTGCCACCCACATGGCCCCAACCAGGGTGGGGACAAACTGCAACTGAGGTACATGCCCTTAGTGGGAACCGAACCCAGAACTCTCTGGTCTGCGGGCCGACGCTCCAACTTCTGAGCCAAACTGGCCAGGGCTGAGACACTATTTCTTTAAATCAATATCTGGGTACCTAAATTAGCTCAGAAAAACTTAGGAATGTTTGATAAATGACACTGTAGGGCAGAGGTGTAAACAAAACACAATCCTAGGGCCAAATCTCAAGAATGCAGCCCTTCTGTTTACTTTCTTTTTTTTTTTTTTTTATCCTCACCCGAGGATATTTTTTCCATTTTTGGTACAGATAGAATGGGAGGGAGAGAGAGGAAGGGAGAGAGAGTGAGAAACATCGACGTGAAGGGACACATCGAGGGGCTGTCACCCGCACGACCAACCAGGGCCGGGGACAAACTGCAACCGAAGTACGTGCCCTTAGCGGGAACCGAACCCGGGTCTCTCCAGACCGCAGGCCGACGCTCTAACCGCTGAGCCAAACCGGCCAGGGCTGTTTACTTTCTTTCTTTCTTTTTTTAAATCCTCACCCAAGGATATTTTTACATTTTATCTTGAGAGAGAGAGAGAGAGAGTGACATAGATGTGAGAGAGACACACCGACTGACTGCCACCCACATGACCCCAACCGGGGCCAGGGATGAACCACAAACAAGGTGCAGGCCCTTGGCTGGAATGGAACCCCGGACCCCCTGGTCCGCAGGCCCACGCTCCAGCTGCTGAGCCAAACCCACCAGGGCTATTTACTTTCTTTACACTTTTTTTTGGTAGGTTTCTCTGCTTCCTGCTGCCACCTAGGGGTGAGAGGGGGGAAGAAACCATGCTCCTAAAATGGACCCTTTATAAGATGGTAAATTCATATCTATTTAATCTATCAGAAGGAAATAAAAACGAGTTGTTAATTTTTCTTTTTTTTTTTATCCTCACCTAGGACTTTTTTTTGGTATGTGCCCCTAGTGGGAACCAAACCCGGGACTCTCTGGTCCATAGGCCAATGCTCCAACCACTGAGCCAAACCGGCCAGGACACCCAGGACATTTTTTCATTTTTTGTTCAGATACAGTGGGAGGGAGAGAGAGAAAAACATCGATGTGAAAAAGACACATCAAGTGGTTGCCACTCACACAACCCCAACCGGGGCCGGGGGACAAACTGCAACAAAGGTACGTGCCCCTAGCGGGAACTGAACCCAGGTCTCTCTGGACTGCAGGCCGACACTCTAACTGCTGAGCCAAACTGGCCAGGGTGAGTTGTTAATTTTTCTTGGATTTGTATTTTTTCTATTATTTTCTTTTTGAAAAATCATTTGTTCCTCATTTTCAGATTTGGGCTGTCTGTAAACCTGCTCAGTTTTCCATTTTCCTAAGGAGGAAGATGAAAACCTAAAAGGTCAAGGCACTAGATGAGTCAGCTGGTTGTCCCAGATTAGAAACAGAATTCTTCTTTGCCCTAACAATTATAAAAACTACCACTCCCTCTTTCAATATCCACATGTAAACAGATGCAGACAAGTTCCAAAGGAACAATTAATTTTGCAATACCAATTGCATTTACCCAAAGGAAACACCAGACCATTTTCTCAACCCCTCTCAAAACAAAATTTTTTTTTTAAATCCTCACCTGAGGACATTTTTCCATTTTTTTGTTCAGATAGAGTGTGGGGGGGAGGACACTGACTTGAAAGGGACATATGGAGTGGCTGCCACCCGCATGACCAATCAGGGCCGGGGACAAACTACAACCGAGGTACGCGCCCTTAGCGGGAACAGAACCCGGGTCTTTCTGGACCACGGGTTGACGCTCTAACCACTGAGCCAAACCGGGCAGGGCAACCCCTCTCAAAATTTAACTGGAAAGTACAGAGGCAAAAGAAGATGGCAGTCAGAGATTGAATTTTAAAAAATGAACTGGAATGATGTAGGTGGGGGTGGAAGTGTGAAATGTGGTGGCCCTGGCAGATTTTGGAGCCATAAGCATTTGCAGGAGTGCCTGATATGTGCAGGGCACTGTAAAGAGGCAAGGTGAGTAAACCTCAGAGCCTAATCTCCAGGAATTCACAAAAAAGATGGGAAAATGGCCTGAACAGATTACATAAGAACAAACACAGTAATCACTTGTAAGCATATGAGACTGGCTGCCATGTATAAATGCACATGCTTGTCCTCAGTATAATGTGGTACTTCTGGGTGCTCAGCACACAGGTTCCAGAAGGATCCACTTCTGAGATAAAATTATCTGGTGCTTGTTTCCTTCATAAAGGGGTTTTGCTGAAGAATACTGCATGCCTGATGGTGAACCGGAGGCCCCACATACTTACCCAGTCAGTCTTGTACAATGCATCCTGTAAGCCTGACTCCCACCCCAGCCTGTGCCACCCACCGTCTTCTGTTCTGAAAGAGGGGCCCCCAGATATAAATGCTGCTCCCAGTCAAGCCAGAGTTACCATACCTTGTGGACACCAAATCAGCATCCTGACACCCTACTTGACCCACTTGGCATATATAACAGTCCCTCTACTTCTTCCCTCTTCTACCATCTACCACTGAAATTTCAGTGTGTTTTATAGTCAAACTTTTCCAAATGACAACACTTCCACTCTGAATTAACAAACAGATGTGGCTGGCTAAGACAGGGGTGGCTCTCTCATCAGTGCTCCTTACATGAGGTCAGCCACCTGGGGCAGTCACGAGTGCTTCCTGCCCCTTCTCACTGGGCAATTCACTTTCCCTCCTCCTTCCTATCAGCCAATCACCACCCATCTCTACCCCTAGATCCAGCATGTTGATCTAAAACAATATGGCTTCCATCCTCTGGGAACTGACTGGATGTTGGATGTGGGGATAGAAGAAAGGGAGGATTTAGGAGGACTGCTTTCTCCAAGGCCAGCAATGATCTTCATGCTGTTAAGTGCAGTCCACCCCTCTCCCTTTCTACCAATCATTTGCCACTTAATAATTGCCTCCACTTTAAAGCTCTTTCCTTATTTTCACCACATTATCTTTTTCTTCTATTTTGGTTGTTTCTTCTGTCTCCCCTTCACATAAATATCACAGTCCTCTTCTCTTTTCACTATGCACACACTCCCAGCAATCTCATCCATTCTCATGTCTTCAAATTCCCATGATTGAACATCACACTCAGAATAAACGGAGCTTCCTGGGGATCAAGTACTGATCTACCAGCCCTTGCTCCCTTCTCC